AGTGGAGCCTACGACTACGCAGCAGGCTTCACGCGTTGGCACACTTCGCAAGCACGTACCTACTTGCGCACCCACGTGTACTGGTGGTTCCAGTAGAAGTCTCTCGTGAGAAGAGTGTATGTCTCTTCACGGCCCGGATGCCCTGCCGTAGAGGCATCGTGATATTCGTACATGACCCGCATACGCAGATTATAATCATTCGGCACGATGATGCGATCCGCATCGTCGTCCACTGCTGTAACGCAGCAGTCCTTCGTGCGCACGATATGGGGCTGCGGCGATACCGGCTGTCATTGCAGCGACTTGTCCAGCCGCCACCTTGATGGCACCACTACAACTCTAAGGAGTTAGTTTGAATGAGCGGATGTTGAACGCGAACTTGTTTTGTCATTGAGACATGATCAGCTGCACGTAGAGCGAGCATTTCATTTTGGTTGAGCATACATATAGCGTATCGTTGCCACCAGACTTGCCTTGGCACGTAAGTGGGCGTTTTTCCTGGGCTAACGCAAAGTTGTTAATGTAGAGAGCTGCGCCTTTGCGTTGAAAGAACTGCATACCCTTAGCATAGGAAACTGCGAATCCTGCCTTTCCAGTGATGGTCGCAATTTCAGTACTCGCATCGTCCATGCTGGACGGTGCTTCGCGCCAATTTAGTAATGAGGCCATTCGATAAGACGTCTAAGCGGTACATAATTCTCTTACCCGATGTGTGTAAGTGTGGTAAGTGCTCCACAATTTTGTCAGGGAAAGCGTGCTTCTTTTCACTGAGGAAAGTTGCCCTAGAATTTGTCATTTCAGTCTTTTCAGATATTGTATGTCATTATATTCCGAATCCTCCATGTTTTATCACAATTCACAGTTTGAAGAAATGTGTTAGGCCACGAAAAGTTTGTCATCCTGCAACCTTACGCAAACATCAACAAAGTTGCGCAACCAATGATGTTTGTCATTTTATTAATTTATGGCCATTAAAAGATTGTCGTTCTGCAACATTTCGCTAACTAAACAAAGTTGTGCAACAGCGATGTTTGTCAGCATTTTTACAGTGTCATCCAACATTTTTTTCAAGTTGCAAAACCAGCTTAATTAGTTGTCATCCTGCATCATCGTGTAAAATATAACTAAAGGTCCATGTTACGCCAGTGATTTTATATAAGCAGTAAAGTCGTCAACTCGCAGACAAAGGACCTGCACTCCGGTCCCAAGAAAATGTATAACATCGTATTTTCTGCTAGGGGACCACACAGTGTCTTAAACTCCATTACATCTACATGTAATTGGCGTTACTCACAGTATCTTATAATAAGGGGCTGGTTGGGCTGGCTGCTTCTGGCTCTCGGTCGCAAGTGCACGAAACCGAAACGGGTAGAGGTACCAAAAGACTGGCTCTGTGACGGGGTCACACAGCCAGTGCTGGCAGTGGGAATAAAAACGTTTTTATTAAAAACGTGTATTTACGCCAGTTTAGACGTCTTTTCATTTTCGAACGTCTTTATTGTCTCTATCAATGTTCGTTTAAGGGTACAGTGTACCTAATTTGCGGCAGCTCACCAGAAACCAAGCGTAGCTCAACATCCCAAATAGTGGACCCTCTAATGGACGCAGGATCTTCACGTCCTCCCTAAAATGAAGACGTGAAAGATTTTCGAAACTGAGCGAGCTCACCAGTTCTCAATCTTCCAAGGTCCGAATACCCATTCCTGATACTGGCCAAGTCTCCTGGTACGAAGTTGACGAAGACGACTAGCGTGTATACTCTGGGTTCTCATTATGTTGTTGTTGTTTTATAAGCGCAGTCGTGATGGGTCGGCCAGGGTGTCCTGCTCGAAAGCATTTCGTGCAGTGGGGTAGCAAAAAGGTGAATTCGGCCCACTATCCCTTCAGATGCAAACGATGTCTAGCGAAGCATTATTTACGCGAGGCAGCACGCCAGCTCGAAAACCCCCAGACTGATCCAGGCCCTGGATCCCCTTGGTCACCACCTATCACAGGACGGCAGACTAATTTCGACAATCATCTACGTATTGTTCACAAAATTAGCGATCCTGCAAGCGTGCCCGCCCCACCTACACCAACGCCAAATGGCCCTTTCGAAGTATCCCCACCGCGTACCCCACCTCCCCGTCGTTTGCAGCATCCCGCCGCTCCGTCTACTGAAAATCTGTCAGAAAGTGGCGTGAGTAGAGTGTACAAGCGGAATTACACTCCAGCCCAGCGACGCCAGTTTGAGCGTTTTTTATTGGAGTTTCAGGTGGATAATGCGTTACCCGACTCGTTTGTTGAGCGCCCAGCAACCAAACGACTGTTATATTTTTTAAACCCTGCGTGTTTGGCGTATATCCCGTCGCGCCGTGTAATGGGAGGACGAATAATGAACGATTACGCAAGTGAATACGTGGCTACGAAGAGCTCTGAGCTTCGCAAACGCCAGCAGGACACTGGTGGGCGTTTGAATCTGCTAAGTGACGTTTGGCAAAACATCTCAAGAACTCATCTTCTCGGAGTTCATCTCACGCTTTTTGGACTCGTTCTTGTCGAAGGGCTACACGAAGTAGGCTCTGAGCATCACACCATAGCTCTCGCACGCCAAATGGAGACGCTGATCGAAGCTTTACTGAAAAAAGGCTGGAGAATTGGAGCAATAATTACCGATAACGCCGGGCAATGTGAGCGTGCTCGCAGAATTTTAGCTGTTCGCTGGCCCTCTATTCACTTTGGTAAGTGTTTCGCTCATGATATCAATAATTTGGTGAAAGCCATCCTACGGCGAACCGGATTTCGATCTGTTGCTGACCAAGCGTGTGCTGCTGTATACGCAATGAACCGATCATCGTCGAAGTGGCTTAAGCGAGTAAACGCTGTTATGATGGAGTTGTATGAGCTGGTTAAGCCACTGGCGTTTCTTTCTCTCTGCTATACAAGGTGGAACTCGATGCAAGCATGTTTTGCGTCTCTGCTTCGTGTTAAGACTGGTTTAAGGCAATTTGCAGCGAGGTTTCAATTTACCAACGATCTACCAAAAGATGTACTCGTTTTTCTTGATGAAGTGTTCTGGTCCACTTTGGCCGATGCAGAGCGAACGATTCGGCCACTATGCAATGCGTCCTACATCTTGCAGCGCGACGAGAATACACTGGTCGACGTAGTGATGTGCTTTCGTGATATTTTTGACAGCTTCGTTGCTGGACCTCACGCTAAAGAGCTGATCCCGCTCGTGGAAGAGCGCTGGGCCGATTGCGAGCAGCCTTTAACTCTTTTGGCGGTGTTCTTACATCCGGGATACCTCGAAGTGGCAAGAGCGTTTCCTAACAAAGGTGTTTCCTCGATTGACTCGATTTCAAATTTTGGAGTGTTTTACTTCAAGCGGTTTTTCCCTGGACGTGAGTATGGAATGCTTCGTTACCATATTGTTCGGTGGTGTGAGAGCACGTTGTACATCGGCACTGAGCACTTTCGCTTCGATGAGTTCCCGTCAGTTGCCGAGTACTGGAAGTATGCTAAAGGTAAGTCGGCGGGTCCCAATTTACCAGACCTCGCTCTCGCAGTTCTGTCAATTGCCGCCAACACAGCTACATGTGAGCGATATTTTAGCGCTCTCGGTCGTATCCACACACCAGCACGAAATTGTTTGAAAGCGGACAAGACCAACAAGGCGGCTATGGCTAGTCAAGCAGTAAAGGAACGTGATCGCTTGGATAACCAAGACCGAGGACTCAGTGGAAGTGTGAACGCGGACGATGGCGACGTTGTTGATGAAGATAGCGAAGGCAACAAATACGCAGGTCGCATAATTAAGTCTGTGGAGCGCCAGTTTCGACGCGATTGCTGGGTCTCACACCACTCGTCAAACTCAACAACAACAGGTAGAACACCGAACCGTCTACCAGCTTCGTTAAACTCATTTACAAACCCGAACCATCTCTCCCAAGCTGCCTTCCGCCCCCCAGACACACCCGGATTCCCACTCGCTTCACCAAACCGGTCGAATGTCACGCCAAGCCGTCCACATTCCACCGTTACACGTCCTTCTGTCACATCATCTCGTCGATATTCGCGTCGCTCGATAGAACATCCCTCACACGGCACGTCAATTCGTTTTCGCTCATTGGAGTTTACAAACATGGATTCGAACGACGAGGGCTTATTTGTCCGGAACGATAACGTTGACACGGCTGATTCCGAACAAGCCGGTGCACCGGTTGAAGAGTCTTCTGAGTCATCCAATACAATAGCCCAGGATATTCTGTCTCACTGGTGCGATAGTTTTGATCACATCTCCGATTCACCGATGCATTCTTCCACAGAGACGGATGCCTCCATGCTTGAAAACGATGAAGAGAGCAATCAAGAAGACTACGACGAACGGCAGCTCCGTCTTCGTCCAATTCCCGAATACAATGACACTAGGTTTCCTCAAGAGCCAAGAAAACTCCCTGGACTTCGCGGCCGAAAAACGACTCTTGTTGATCTGTTTTACCTTCCAAGTACGCTGTAGTCGAGATCCCGTCGAATGAGGAGATAAGTGTTTGACAAACCATTTATTCTGTTCCGTATTGAATTCCTTGTTGAGTTGAATTGTTTAAGATATTCTTGCAACTTGTCCTCTCTGCCAAATATTCATTTCATTCTCTTACAAGATGATGCAGCGAAAGTGCCCAATAAACTGCGATGAAGATGAGCTGAATGACATTTGCTCTACGTATCCCCTCTACAACTAGTGCATTTCTCCGTAAGAGCGACGAGAAGATTGTGTTGGGTGCGCTGTCGCTACTCGAATGCAGCACCCGCATCTTCCGCTTCAATCCCTTACGAAACTCAAATTCCGTTGCTAATTCGTTTTTCTGTCCAGAGCGAGGTTTTGCCCTGCTTTTGCGTACTCACTGCGTTGTAATTGGTAGCACTGGGCGCCGTGGATCAATGCGAGAAGGCTGGCTTGCTGGACACTTCGAGCGGGACTGAGGCGGTTCCTCGTTCGAGAGCAGAAACGGATTGGCCAGATGCAGTGCAAGATCTTGAGACTGGGCAAGTCGCTGTACCTGGAAGGCGACGACCGACACGGCGACTCGACTGGTGTGGGAGATTTGTCTTTTCTGTGGGTTTCCTGGCCGACGTGCTCGAGTGGATCTCTCTGTGGTATATTCGATCATCGGGTGTGGGAGCGTTCGCTGGAAGTGTCGCGTCGGCTGCTGCGATTGACGCTACGACGTTCAATTGGGTGCTCAAGCTCTTTCTGGACGTCGGTGCGCCCCACCGAGTACTGCTCAGCTACTACGAACAGCTTTATCGTGAGCAACCGGAACGCCTTTACCGGGAAGGCTGGACGCTGCACTTGCTACAGTCGATGCTGACCATTATTACTATCTGGAAGAAACACGCCATCTCTCCTCGTACAGGGAAGGACCAAAACGCAGAGTTCGCGGCTGGCGGCCGGGGTAGCGATGAAGCAGGGGTGGGCCTGGACGCCGTAGAAGCCAAAGTGGCACCAAGCATGGCGCTAGACGTGGATGCAGCGAGCGTAGCACCCAGCGTAGCAGCCGCAGGGATAGCGCAGGTCCCTTGGTGTCAGTAGTGATTTACGTCAGCTGGCGGCTCGAAGGCAACAGCTTTCTCCCTATCACCCTATTAGTGGACCCATGAAAAGCTTCATAGTTCATTGAAATCTAGTCATTCTTTCTTTCGGTAATTACGTCCCGGTGTCTGTAAAAATGGGTTTAGACGTTCGTTGAAAAGGGTAAAAACACACGGACGTTTAAAACGTCTTTGAATAGACGTCACTACCAGCACTGGACACAGCAATGCTGGTCGAGGCGCTACGGCGGCCGCGGTCGTTGTCGCTCATGACGTTCAACCTACTGGCTCCGTGCTACTTCCGACACGGAGGGCGTCTCGAGAGCGACGACCAGGTGTCTTTCCTCTCGCGTGCACAGGCTTCCATCCGCGCCATCAAGCGCGAGCAGTGCGACGTAGTGTGTTTGCAGGAGTTTTGGTTTAAGCACGAGTACCAGCGCGCCTTCCGTCACGCGTTTCAGCCTACACATTACGTGCACACAGCTAAGCGACCTGGAGATAAGGAGGACGGACTTGCTGTGTTCGTGGATAAACGCAAATTCGAGTTGCACAATGTTGAAAGTGTGGATCTGGTGGAGGAGGCGGGCGACCGTGTGGCCCTGCTGATGCACGTGGCCACCAAATGGAACCGCGAGAAGGCGCCGCTAGATCAACGCTCGTTTCTTGTGGTTAATTCGCACTTGACATTCCCTCATAACGAAATGTACGCGAGTCTGAGACTAAGTCAGATCCACCGCGTGCTCTCAGCAGTGCGAAAGTACGTGGCTCGTCAAGATCTGTGCGACATCCCAGTGCTGCTCTGTGGCGACTTTAACGACTACAACGACCCCGTCTACAGACTCGTGACGAAGCATGGGTACGCCAGTCTGTTTGCTGAAATGCACGGACGAGAAGCGAGGATCACACACTGCAACCACAACAACAGAGAGGTCGGCGTGGACTTTATCTTCGGCGCCAGACTAGACAGTGACCAAGCCCAGACGCTCCTCGACCCGCGACTGCAGCTCAAGCCCGTGGACTGTCATCTGGTGCCTCGTCGACTGCCAGACGTGGTGCGATTGAAGCGCCCGCAGTTTGGACACGACTGGCGCCACGTACAGTCGCCTGTGCTATTGACAGACGAAGAAGCACTCGTGGATTATTGGCGAATGGTGTCGGATCATCGACCGTTGGTGGCCAAGTTTCAGGTCCTGGACGACAGCGATGGGCTGACGATTCCGTCACTTGAAAACGAAATGAAGACCAAGCTGGAGAGCTTCACCTCAATGGACGAAGCGGCCACTGGTCTTACCCCGTAAGAAAGGCAGACATTGTTTTGCCGGTAAGTTAAATAAGCCTTTTTGTCTATGCCTCACTTGTTTTTGTTTTTTTTACCTTTGCGAGGCATAAGGACCCAGTGTCTGTCGGTACGAAGTCACGTGGCGGAGAGCTCGAAGCAGTTCCTGCTGGGTCGCTTCGGCCTCGTCAATAGCCAACGCCAAGTACTGGTCTTTCCAGCGCTGGAAGCCTGAGCGTAGCAATGCCATAGTCATTTTGTCGACGAAAGCGCGGGCACTAGCGGTGTGCTTCAAGCGACGACTGGATCGGACAGCAGCGAGTCGATCGAACGCGGTTTGGAGCGTCCGTCGACGTGCATTGCGCACTGTAGCGTTTACCAATCGCCATGCGCTGCGCTGCTTCGATCGCTGCAGCTGCCGCTCTGCCAGTTGTAAATCAGTCAGCACTGCGCGTGCGATTCGAGCTGGGACGTCTGCTGCGGGTGTGAAGTGCTTGGAGGCGGCTTGCAGTTGCGTCGCCATGCTTGGCAACCTCTGTACTCGAGTGAACCACACCCAAAAAGCAAACTTTGTGAGCGCTCTGTAGTGATGTCGGAGATGTCGCTCCATGCGACATAACGGCACAGATCGCGCTTGGTTCCAAATGGTTCTGCGTTTCCAGTTCCTAAAATGGCGATGAAGTAGCTTTTGACGACTCCGAACAGCGAACGAGTGAGTGTGTCCGTCTCGACGCTCGCGTCGGCTATGAGCGTACAGTTTCCAATGACTGAAAGTGCGTAACAAGAGCTGTGACCACGTATGGGAATCTTTGGCTCTCTCGTATTCGAGCCCGGTCAACACCAGTCCAGTACGCAGCAAGGCTGTTTCTACTTCTGCTGCAAAGTTTCTCCATTGATTCCACGCGTTGATCGTGACTTGTCGCTGCCAAACGCGCCGCAACAACACAAGACAATGAACTGCATTAAGTTTGGCAATTCGTGAGCGCTTGTGAGCACTTTTCCATTGCCAGTATGCTTGCAGAACGGCCAGGAGCCGCTTCTTCACCAATGAAGCAGTAGCTGCTGCATGCTGTCGCGTCCGAACGTCAATCATCGATTTCCAACTCGTCCAACACGTCCGGATACACTTGAGATCACGTCTGCGTTGAGCCACTACGAGACGCCGATTGATTTCACGATGAGCTCTCCCCACCGCTCTCCAAGACATGAACGCTCGTCGTTTGAGCCATTGCGTGGAACAAGCGTGAGCAATACGTGCAGCCCACTCGGTCATGTCCAGTTGCACTCGCTTCACTTCTTCAGCAGCCCGTGAGTGTAAAATTGTCGATTGCCAACGCCGCAGTGCCAGTCGCTGATACCGCGAACCAAGAGCTTTAAGACGCGACTGCAACATCCGCACTTGCTCTAATTTGTGCTTCCAGACTTTGAGCGCAATTGAGACACGTATTTTGCGTCCAAGCTCCAGAACTCGATCAATTCTCGTGGCTGCTGAGCTCACTAACAGCCGACGGAGCGCGTTGTTCTGCTGTCCGAGCTGGGCTGCTCTCAGCAACAAGCGTTCGTGTTTGTCTTCCAGAGTGTCGATCAGTTTGTCTCGCTTCGCTGTCGCGTGTTCCCATTGTGCAACACGATGAGCGTCCATCAAGTCGTTTGCGTGTCGAGTATACGCCTTCCACCGTCCCCAGGCATCTTGAAGCGAGTGTCGAAGTGCGCAGATGATTAATTTGTCGTAGACCGCGTGTTTCACGCCTCGTGAGTGCTGCGTGAAGTTGACCCACGCGTTCCAGACCCGTTTTTGGCGTCGAAGCTGCCAGTTTTGCTGACATCTGTGGAGCTTCTGTCTTAAAGTGACGCTGTATCGGGTATGGCGCTTCCATTTGACGAAACATGAACGTTCTATCCGCTTTAGAGATCGCGCACGAGCCAGCTTGATCATAGACTTAGTGTGTGTTTGTATCTTCGCGTACATGACCCAGCGACTGAAGAATCGATCGTAAAGAGCAGAGTTCGTCTTTCGCTGCAAGACGAGCGATACCGCACGCATCCTTTGAATCTGGCGCTCTCGCTGTCGAGTGTTGTGAGTGGAGAACGCCGACGCTGCCATGACGGATTGGCGTCGAATGGCTTCATGCTGGTGCTGACGGAGAGCTGAGAACCCTCGTCGCGACTGCCACAATTCGTGGATTCTCACTAGTCGGATCGCTGTGTGGTCGACGTCATGTCTCCAGTCACACCATCGATCCAATTGATTGAAACCGTGTGCCAGAAGCACAACCCGCGTACTGTTCGAGATCTTCAAGATAATTTGAGCTCTCCGTCTTGACTGGCAAACTAAATGACGCCATGCGCGCCAGATGCTTTGACGGAGACGGCGAATGCGGCGATGTGATAGAGCTGCTCTCTGTTCGACGACGTATCGCCGACGCTGCTCCACGTGCACTTTCCAGCGAACAAAGTGACCTTCCAGACACGGTCGCTGCCACGATAATTATTTCACGACTGCAATGCGCTTGGCGCTGACTTCTCGCTGATGTGATAATGCGTGCTCTGTTTGCTCCAGCTGCTGTCGATGCACCATCTCTCGTGCCCACCGTCTCCAATGACCCAGAGCTGAGCGCATTTTCCGAATGCGTTGGCGCTTCACGACACGAGATAAAAGCAAGTCGAGATAGCTCTGTCGCTCGATTATCGTTCGCCACTTGTGGAAATGATACACCGGAGTCGCTTCTACCAACCTCCCCAAAGCCACGCAGAGCTGGTGTCGAAAGCGTTTAATGTGTGCAGTCTGCTGCTTCCAAGTTGCAAACAATTCGGTCAAAACCCGCTTCTTGTGATGCCGCCTCGCGAATACCTCTTTCAATGCCAGCATCGATTGGGTTGACGATGCTTTTTCCTCTTCCAGCGCAGCGTGACTGGACACAATGTTGTCAATTCGCTTCCAGTGACCCCACGCGTGACGCAAAACGATTTTGTGCCAGATAGCTCCTGCCAGTCGAGCTCCTGTCACCCTCAGACCATGGTGATGATACATCTGCGTCAGTTTACGCCACGCTGCAGCCTTAAGTCTCTGGGCGATCATTACATTTAGATGTGCGACGCCACGTTGCGTTCGAGTGTGAGATGTCCACCAGCTCCACGACATCTGGAGCAAACGTTGCTGGTACTTCAACAAGATGCTGTGTAAGAACTTCCAGATTGTTTTCTTTCGGAATGCGATGGACCTCCATGCACTGAACACGATTCGTCTCTCTCGCTCGGTTTGTATCTTCTCTGTAAGAACCAACACTCGAACTTCAGAGCGACGGAACAGCTCAGCACTCACCCGATCTCGTTCAAAGAGGGTATGCGCACGAGCTCGACGTTCCCAAAGTCTGAATGCTTGACGCTCAAGGGATAATTGGAGGCGGTTTAGTAGGAGTCGAAGCGTTCGACGCTGTTTGGACAGCGAGCAGCTCGTGATTCTTGTTTGCCATCGCCTCATGGTGCCCTGGAGTGCCATGTATCGTCGTTTCTCCGTGAAAAGATCTCGACGACGTTGCTGTCGTGTGGCCTCGACACTGACGAGTCTCCACTTCCGTATTATACGCCGCAGGATGCTGGCTCTTCCCGTTGACCGGACCACTTTGTGGACCTGTTCCTGAGTTCTGATCGTTACCGCGTCAAGCCTTGTGATCGTCGCAGACATGGACGCTCGTATCCAGTGGCGCCACTTGATTCCAAGGCTCCGAATGCAGTGTCGGTGGTAAAGTCGTCTTACCGCTGCGCGTCTGCGAGCCATCAGCTTCGAATACTGAAGCCAGGCTTGTAAGCATCTTCTCGCGCGAATCTGGTTTTGTAGACGGAAGGCGACGTACCCAATCCACCGACGCCACAGTCGCGACACCAGCTCGTGTTCAGCGGCATATCTGTTGGCACACACCTCCACGTGCTGGTCGTTCTTGATCTTCCAGGACTGAAAGGCTTGTCGTTGCCACCTCCCCCTCGTTCGCTTTAAGAATCGTCCGAGGCATCGCGCCCGCTGTTGTCGAAGGTAATGCCAGTGACACCAAACCCGGAAGCAAGACCGCAGTCGATAAGTCGCCAGCTTCGATAGAAGCTTCTGGTGTGTGAAGCGTTTCCACATGATGAACCCAAGGACGACTACCCGGTGGCGTCGTGTTTGTCGAAATTGGTCCTGTTGACTGGATCTCGTACTTGCGTACTGGTCGAAGAGGACCCACTTCCCAAGAGCAGATCGAAGTGCTTGACCTCGCGTACGACACATCAATCTCTTCAAAGCGCGTCGACGACGAGCGTGTGTTGCTGTATGTGTAGACCAGCTACGAAGCACCCGTCGCAATAACTTTTCTTGATTCTTATCGGCCATGACGAGAGCGCAGGTGACTTGAAATTTCAGTGCAGATCTTCGGCTGCGTCGAATATCCCCGAGATAAGAAGCCTGTGTTGCCTCCACCTGCTGAGAGAACTGCCACATTTCCACATGAGCTGCCGCCTTGCACTCTTGAACGGCTGACCGGATGCGCAGACCGAGCCATCCTCTCATCAACCAGAGCCTTTGCAGCTTGAACATCAACGCACGGAGTCGGAATCGCTGTTGTCGACTGCGACGAAGCGTCCAAACGAGCAGTTTGAAGCAAGATGCCTTGGTGGAGTAAGTTCGACGCTCGTCCCGCGTTGATATCAACGTCTTGATGCGTTTTGAGCGACGTGCTTCGTTCTTCCACGACGTGACGAACCTTCGCATCACTCGCTGATGATGCTGAAGTTTCTGGAACTGCACAGCGATCGCAGTCTTCTTTCTCAACTGGATCACGTAACATCGCAGTATCATCCACGCTCGATATTTACACTCGCGTTGTGCCAAGGCTTCTCGTCGCTGTGCCTGCAGTTCCGACAATTGTTGTTGTCTCTGCTGCTCCCGAACGTAAACGGTATGTAGCTCACAAGCAGCGGAAGATTGGACAGCTTCCGTTCCTCCTCCATCGCGTTGTGTGCTGTTTTGAGGACTTCAGCCCATTCGTGAGCTGAAGTCTCGGCGCATCGCAGTCGGAAACGTGTCAGCCCAAGCTGTAGAAGCCGCCGGTTGTGCCGCACGAGGAGTCGACGCAAGGAAATGCGTCCTTGTCGAAGCAACCCTATCCGTGATGCCCAGGTTACAAACACTGAGCGCACCAAACGCTGTGACGGGAGTATCAAGAGATCTCGTTGCCTTCGCTTCCAGCGGACAGCGCGTTCCCAATTTCTCCACATCTTTCGTAAAAGTTGCCACCTTCGAATCTGTTCGTAGTCCCATTTGGCTTGGACACGGATTGATCTGCTACAAGGAACATCATTGACTGTCAAGAGGGCAGGTTGACTCAGCTGCACCGGGTAGACTTTGGCACTCTCTATGGTACAGTCGCCGTCTACCTGCTTCCATCCGTACAGGCTCTGTCGTAGAATTCTCAATCGAATCCGTGTGTGCAGTCTCAGCAGTGCACCTCGGCGTCGAGTTCGAAGCTGCACTACTTGCTGGAGCGACTGGAAGACGACGCGTTGCTGTCTGAAGCGCACTCTTCGATTCATCGAGCGCAAGGCCAAATCCACGTATCGTTGACACTGCTGTTGATTCGTGTAATGCAAGGAGTCGAGTTCTGCTCTTCGCTTGACGTCTCGATCATGAGAGCGCTGCACCGCTACCGGTAGGCCTGCTACACCCTTATTCAGTTCCACGATCGTTAACAGATCCTTCACTTTAGCTTTGCTCGCTTCCAGTTCAGCTGCGCAAGTGTCGGACGTCTGCAGGGCACGAGAAAGCTGCCACTTGAGTCTGCACCGCTCTTGCTCGAGCTCGCGAAGAACCGATTGCTTGACGTATATACAGGCTTCCCCTTGGTCATGCGCCATATCCGCCACGGTACTGTACATGCAGTGCCCGAAGGTCCGCTATTGAAATTTTCAAAATCTATTGTGTGCGTTAGGGCTACTAGGGTTATTACCGGAAAAGTCGTTAAGATAGAGCGCCCATGTATAATTTTCGTTTTGAGAGGATCTACCGCTCCTTCATAGAATTTTTCATTAAGAGAAACCATTTGAATAATTTATAATTGGTTCATTGCCAGTCTGACTGGCCCAGTCATTTCTTAGAAATTTAGTCAATTGAAGCAGTTGGCGGGACCCCGGGGTCCCGCAAAAAATTATGTCGGTATCCGGAATTATTTATTTTATTACGGGCATGTACCACAACCTACAAAAAATCCTTTCGTGACTTACTTTTTCAAAATTTAGCTCGCCCAGCATCCCATGAGCGAGCATCTAGAAGCAATTAGCGGCCCTGTTGGACAGTAAAATATCGGATATTGCTGTGAAGTCCCTGGGCCCTGCATGTAAGAGCATATAAGCCGTTAGCTGCCATGTTGGACAATAATATATCCGATATTACTGTGAAGCGTCATTGCCAAGGCATCGTAGTCGCCCCAGAAAAAACACCCATGCTGACAGTTCTGCAGCATCTCAGCTTTACAAATGCAGTCGTGCATGTACCTCTAGAGCTCTATGAGGGCATCAGTAGCCAAAACAAAAATTGGAACTCTTTTGTACCGATTACTTATGAGAGCCCCGGGGTCCGGATGGGACCCCAGGGTCCCGCCAACTGTTTCAATTGTGCAGCAGCAAGCAAAGATTTGTATTTCATGCAGACCAGGAAATTTATTTTAGCCAGTCCCAACGCGAGCAATTGAGTACCCCATTTCCGAGCAGCAACTACCTAATTCCTCGATGAGTTGCCCCCCCCCGTGGTACATCACCAAAGGGGGCCAAATCATCGATGAAGACCCTTCAGACACACATGCATCTCATTGGTTACAAGAGCATGGATCTTAGGGCGGCGCTAGCCTCGCGCCATTGCAAGTTTCAATGGTTCGCGCTCGCGTATCGGTGAAGAAGAAGCTCCTGTTTGTCCTCGAAGCTGAGCCAACCAACGCTGCAACGTGAAACCAGCCCAGATAAGGCGATGTACGAGACAAAAAGGTGCAACTAGAAGCTACCGTTTTGCGAAGTCCTCATGCTAAATCGCGTTAGGCTCTAAAATGCTCTTCCACGTCGGTTAGTATCAAGCAACGAACAATTCCCTTATTGCGATCAGATCGACGACGTTTCTGGCTGTTGTCAGACTTTCGTAGGTCCGACGACTGTGGCCATTTTGTTTTCGTATGTGTGATGTAGCAAGATTAGCAAAATCTGCGAGATTGCTGGATCCAACTTACCAACAGCGCCCAGACACCGACTAACGGAGGGGCCCCCCGATGATCCGTGATCTGCTGAGCTTTCATCACCTTGTGTACCCGTCGGTAGGGCGGAATCTTGCTCTCTCGGTAACCTTCCGGGGAGCTCAAGTGGCGAAGCTTGAGTGTCTTTGCGAGACGTGGGGATGGAGTGGAGCAGTAGTGTGGTATTGGAATTCCCACGTGAATTCTAGCTACAAATGTAGTTAGGACGTTCCCACAACAATACGTCTACTAGGATAGTTAACGATCGTTCGAGCGGACCTGAGGATCCCAGTTCTGCCTTTGCACCGGGACAAACTGGACCTTGTAAACTACTTATATAGGCCAACCAGTAAAAAAAGGAACACGCTACTAGCACGAGCAAAGCTAACAGGTGTTATGGATCCTCGTGGTCCCAACAGCGGAAGGGTACCAGGCACGGGTAAGCCTTTTACGAGGGCACCGAGTGCTCAACACTCGGTTGGAAGAATAAAAGGAATGCAATTTATGCACTCCCTGTCGTGCAAATAGGCAACAATAAGCCGTCACGTAAAACCTCCCGATAGTAAGCGGCCAATACACAAAGTCTCTTGGCCTTGCCGAATGAACCCTCGCTACAGAGCTTCGAGTTCACCGACAGGTATAACACACTCAAACAAGCTTGCCCAGACACTTACCTTGAAGCCGGACGTCGCCCTGTGTGCTTGAGTGGAAATTCTGTTCTGTATTTATGTTTACCCTTTCGGGTCTATTCCTAATAATAAGTCCTAATATAGTATACAAATATCAAGCGAACAATGATCCGTTATGGATCTTCTTGCACGCCAAGCGTCGTCTGCATCGTCGCATGAGTATCTTTAACGCCTCGCGCCCTGTCCTAGACGGTGAGCGTGCCTTCCAAGGGTCGCTGAGTCTTCCGCGAACTCATCCCAACCGCCACTGAGGGTTCGTACCGTAGATGATCAGCTCTTGGCCGCTGGATGCAAATCCGGCCAGTCCATTATTAATAATAAGGACATCCTGGATTCAGTGACATATGGACCGTATCCAATATCCGTTGAGAGTTCGGTACTGACACCGTCGAGTCTCTTGCACCTTGGAGTCACTGTACATCACATGACCGAGGGTTCGTCGCTTGAACATCTTGGACGGTGTCGCGTCTTGTCGACGGACGATTATCCGCAACTATGGAGAAATCACTACACCACAACTGTCCCTGTCGCAATGGAAGTCACGGTACTGGTGCCCGTTGTGACATTTCTTCATTCTCCAATTCACCATTCAATCTCAGGATGTCCAAGCGCCTGAATCGGGCCGTGAACAACGCACTTCAGCGTCTCAATCCTCGCCGACGTCGCGAACGTGAACAGTTGGAGGTAAGTCAACTCAACTTCCTCTTAAATCATCGGCACCTTGCTCACCACCATGCATTACTCGTCTTGTTTCCCAGGAGGGCGATAGCGAGGTTTCGAACGCCCCTCAGCCTGTCACACTTCCTTCGACGGCAACGTCGTCGACTGGTCCTCTGGCACTTTCTGCCCTGGACTCTTCACTCTCTGTGGCAGCTCCTGCGGCACTCACAGTCGTCGCTGAATCAACGGAGATGGCTCCTGCTGGTCCGCCTGCGCCTGTTAGTGGTCCTCCACCACTCACCGAGGATTCATTGCGCGCCATGCTGGCTGAAAGTACGGAGGCGTCGGTCGATCATATGATGACCTCGATAATTCCGTACTTAACAGCGATGACTCGTCACCAAGTGCAGCTCAACGATGCGCCTCCTCTTCACGGCGATGTCCGCACTCAACGTCGCCTCGAGACCGCCATGGGCTTTGACGAAGCCCTCGCCGCTGTACAGCCTCTTCCCAATGCGCTGTCGGCGTTGCCCGACCGAGTCATCAGCTTGGAGCGTCAATTGCGGGCTGCCCAGACCGAGGCTGCTGCCGCCGTACGTTCGGTGGCACCCGAAATTATGGCTCGCAAAAACGCGGAGGCGTACCTCAAGGCTGTCAACGCCGAAGTCGAAGCTCTTCGCAAGGACGTCAAGATCCTCCGCGAATCGAACGCCAAGAACGATGCCATGCTCGCGAGTGTTCAGTCCACCAAGGAGCAACATACGGAAGGCTTGAATCGTCTGCACTGCGAGGTCCAAGCGCGGGACGCATTTATCGCCACCTTGAACGCGACGTATATAAGTCTTCGATTGGCGCAAACACCGAACAGACTCGGCAACTTCATCTCCTCTTGGCTAAGCTTTCCAAGGGCAAGCACGTCGACAACGGCACGCCCAAGGTCCTCGAGAACCAGCAAGATCGCAACACTCACCTCCTCCAAGTAAATCGCATTCTCCGTGCACACGTGAGTCTGGCCGGGATAGATCCCGAGGTACTGCGTCTGGCTGCTGATGGTACGTTCCTCTTGTTGCTCTTTCCACCGTGAGTTCAGCAACTAACGTTCGTTCACAATCCTTCGTGATAGGTGTGACTGCAGGTGAACTGGACTTGGACACCCTGGACTTGGACCAAGAGACGTTGGTCGCTTTGCAGCACATACAGTCTGCTGCCGCGTCTTCGGATGACCCACAAGCTCTTCCTGCAGCTTTGGCGAAGGTTGCTCACCAAGTGTCTCATTGGAAGTCCCACAAGCGCCTTAGACCAGGTGGCAAGGAGTCAGACGACGAGTTGGACGACTCTGACGAAGACAAGGCTCCCATCCCAACGGACAAGGCCAGTACTTCAATGGCAGCTGCTGGTCTTGGTGATGCGCCACCTGCCGACACTTCAACCCCCAAGTCAGCACGTCGGTCGTTGTTCAGCTTGAAGGCATGGAAGCAAGCGGCCCAGAAGAAGCGCCAGAAGACTCGTCTTCGCTCTCCTGCCAAGTCGCGCCGACGTCATATGAAGACTCGGACTAAGTCTGTACCGTCTTCTCCTTGCTCATGGTCACCACCTCCCACGCCAGCGTCATCCTCGACTCCCGCCGCGGTTGACCTCAGCGGTGACCAGAGTGACGTGGACATAGTGGATGTTGGCTCAAGTGGTGTCCCGTCGGCTCAAGATATTGCCACCGAGTCTTCGGGTAAAGTCGTGGGACCTGGGGATCACGACGATGTTTCCGGTCTTCCTGACGCGCCTTCGCCTCCGCCTTAGGGTCCTCCCTACTTGACCAAGCCATCAGCGTTGACGATCTCTCCTTCTCCAGCTGACATACGTACCGCTGAAGAGGCTTTGCGTGAGGCCGAGCAATTTCGACTCATGTTCGGCTCAAGTGACGAAGGTGAAGAATCGGACAGCACCGTCCGACCAGGAAAGGCTGCTTCGTCGTCTGCGGTGACTATCAAGACGGTTGAAGTCTCGGGAGTGGTTTCTGCAGCAGGGATTTCCCCTGTTGAAGCTGCTCAACAAGCCTCCGTGCCTTTAAAGCCGGCCCGACTGTCCCATTAGCTGCCGTGCCAAGTGTTTCTTCGCCCGACTTTCCGATGGAGGTTGATGACGATGGAAATGGTGATGATGATCGTGGAGGTAACGTGGATGACGATGAACTTTCGGTGAATGATTCTCCTGATGGTACAAGTGGTGGCGGTGATGCTCCGCCACCTACCGAACAATCAAGTACAATCGATGACGAAGATGTCGAAGATTTTGA